CATATCTCTGCAAAACCCTGTGGGAAGGTGTATGATGGCTTCAGCTTGGGCTCCAACCAGGCCATGCCTCCAATGCGTTTTTGCTCCAGCCACTGAGCTTTTCCAGCAAGAAAATGGAAATTCTGATTCTTCAAGCTTTTTGTTGGGTGATCAGCTCTAAATAATTGCTGCTTTTCTAACCCTGTCTTTGGAATATCTGGCCCTGATTCTAGATACAGCCTAAGCAAAGGTCTAATGTCCAGAGAACAAATTGCTCTCCCTCAGATCTCAGTCATGTCTTGAGACCAAAGAAAACTCCCCTCTCTGTTTTGGGCCTCATGGTAGCTTCTTTCGAGGCTGAGAGACCTCTCCAACAAAACATTTGTAGGTCTAAAACATATTTATATTCACATATATCCATAAAACTCAATAATCTGTTACTTAATTACAAAGAACATTATAAAAATGCACCACAGTACAGGAATTCTTGTAAAATAATCATATTAGGTGAACTTAAAGATCCACTTCCAGTGATATATCAGCTCCGTGATATCACCGAGGTTCAACAAGGGAGAGCCTGTGGCCTACATTAGCCAACACATCACAGTAATAGGCATAATGTTGAGTCTTTTCAACATTTAGTTTTTTTTTGCCTCAAATTTTGAGGCAATCAAGAGTTTTTTTGTTTTGTTTTTGTTTTAAGGCAAAAATGTAAATTAATAGAATATTTCTAACACACAGTATGGGCTTATTTAAAATGACACCGCAAACACATTATTGCTTCTGCTGAGTATGGGGATAATGTGTTTAAGCCCTTTCTGAAGCCTAGCTGCATAGAGGAGGCCAGAATCCAAGGAGCACCTTCAAAAGTTCAAGCAGCATAAATAATGTATCTAATTTCCCTACTACCTATTACATTTTTAACCAGGATGTACCAAACTGCTGGTGCTTGCCTGCTTAAATAGAATGTTCAGTGCTTGGTGACATAGTACACATGACTCTTGTAGCAGAAATGCATTCATCCTCTAAATTAGAGGTGCCCGTTAATGAACTGCTACTTTCCTGTGCTCTCCTTCCTGCTGCTCTCATCAGTTATACATAGAATTTTAAAGGCCTCTTCACTAATGTGTATTTTTTCGGATATTTTTGACCTGATCACATTAGTGCTGGTTGGCAATAAAAATGGTACTAGATGACCATGTGACACTATACTTGTGTGGCAGCAATCGGACAGTGAAGCTGGCTGCACTGGTCTGGAGAAATTATATTGGTGTGGCTGTGATCAAGAACATTGTTGCTGGCTGGTAATATAAAATGTATGAATGAGCGCTGGATGGACTTGTATATAAAGCCGCTAGCATGAAAGGTAAAAACCTCTAAAACCATCAAATACATAAACATGCAGCGCTATTTAGAAAATATAAGCATAAAAAAGTGTAGATAATCAAACTCATATAATATGTGACAATACAATATGATCAAAACAGCCGCAATGCTGTATATAAATGTTAAATGAAATAACATAAACGCTCAGTAGCGTTGCAAATGGTGACATGTGCAGACGTCCAGAGTTGGTGTAATAGAGTACATATAGTGATCATAACAGAATGCAAAGCAAGCTTCAATAATAGTAGATGGTGACAATCCGTGTTCGTGGTCTTTAAAAAAAGTGATGAGTGTAGATTGCACTAACCAGAAAGGGCAAATTAATGCGCATTTGAGTGATTCAAGACCAACTCCTGGTCATCAACATCTGGGAAATGGAAACAGTGGGGGTCATCTGGCCAGCGTCAGCTAAGCAGGTAGCACAACATCGGGGTCTCCAGGTGCCAGGAATACACTCTCACCAGCAGGGGGAACCAGCCTCACAGGTAATGCAGAAGTCACCAGGGTTTGCCTTTGGGGGGAGGGGCTCGTTAAAAATGAGCCAAACACAGAAAATCCCAATAGTGTAGTACTTTATTCAAACGGGGGGTGTATACAATTGAAAATACACTCACATGTTGTAGCCTGGTACTGACAGGGGAATCAAAAATGTGGGCCGTGCGGAGTGACGTCACAGGGTAAGTGCACCTCTCTAACGCGTTTCGTGCCCGTGCACGTTATCAAATTGTTGCTGGCTGCACTAGCTTGGTGGCACAATGTACTGGCGTGGCCACGGGCTGAACGGCAAAAAAAAAAAGGCATTAAATGTGTACCCACCATTAGAAGTGGATTGATGCAGGGTGGTATATTCTAATGGTGGGCATATCCCATGCTTTTTCTAGCAGAGATTTCTTCTCTTTTTCATTCAGCGCACAGGCTGCATAAAGAACATAGTGGTACATCACTGGACTGGTTATACCAGGATGATGCCTACAGCTCCAGCCGGCGAAGATGGCCCCCCCCCCCCCCCTGCCCCGATCAAGGGCAGTAATTCTATCATTAGACCTCTGTAAATCTAAAATGGTAGCTTGTAAAGGCTTTTAAAGCGTTGCCTATAGATATTAAAAATGTTTACAGTTTAGCGCCATTGCACGGGGCATGCGCAGTTTTAAAGCATGTCCTGTTTGGTATCTATTTACTCAGCATATCATCATCTTTTATATGTTACCAAATAATTGGCCAGAATATATTGTGTTTTTGTGCATTAAAAGTAACAAAAGTGTATTTTAAAAAATACAAAAAAACTTGCATTTGAAAAATCGCTGTACGAGTGATTTAAAAAATTGCAGCACCCACCTTTTATTCACTAGGGTGTCCGCTTTAAAAAAAAAAAAATATATATATATATATATATATATATATATAATAATAAAATTTCCTAGCAAATAAAATACTGTTTGTTCACGAAAAAAAAAAAAAAAAAAAGTGTGTCAGAAATGGCTTGGTCTTCAGGTGGTTAGCAGAGTGAGTGATGTGTGGCACATAAACGACTAATGCTGGGCATAAAATGCCCCCCCCACCCCCAAAATAACCCTTTTTTGGAATGTAGACACCCAAAACTATTTGCTGAGAGGCATGTTGAGTCAATAAAATTTTTATTTTTTTACAAGTTTTTAGAAAATAACAAAAAAAATTTTTTTTTACTCAAAGTTGTCACTTAAATGATTTATTGCTCACACATGCAATGAGTATATGTAGTATTACTCCCCAAAATACATTCTGCTATTTCTCCCGAGTATGGGGATGCCTCATGTGAGAGACTTTTTGGCAGGCTAACCAAGTACAGGACCCCAGAATCCAATAAGCACCTTCAGCCTTTAAAGGGCTTTATTTCCTCATTACATTTCCTGACTACTTATCACCGTTTTGGAGGCCCTGAAATGCCAGGATATGAAATGAAATGCAACCCCCCCAAATTACCCCTTTTTTGGAAAGTAGACACCCCAAGGATACTGATAAGAAGCATTGTGAGTATTTTGCAGATCTCGTTTGTTGCCACAAGTTTTTGGAAAATAAAGAAAGAAAACAAAGTTTTTTCTTTTCTTTTTTTTCAAATTCCTTGGCGTGTCTACTTTCCAAATAGGGGTCATTTGGGGGGGGGGGGGGAGGGTTGGTGCTATCCTGGCATTTCAGGGCCTCTGAAATGCCAGGACCACTGTGATAGGTAGTGAGGAAGTGAAATAAGGGAGTTGCGTAACTTCAGCCTTTCAAAGTGGTCGTTGGATTTCAGGCTCCTGTATGTGGCTAGGCTCCCAAAAAGTCTCACACATGTTCTATCCCCATACTCGATAGAAGTAGCAGAATGTATTTTGGGGTGTAATTCCACATATATCCATGGCTTGTGTGAGCAATATATCATTTAAGTGACAACTATCTGTAAAAAAAAAAAAAAAAAAAAAAAAAAAAATTTGTCATTTTCCAAAACTTGTGGGGAAAAAAATAAATCTTCCATGGACTCAGCATGCCACTCAGCAGATAGCTTAGGGTGTCTACTTTCCGAAAATGGGTCATTTGGGGGTGTTTGTACTGTCCTGGTATTTTGGCACCTCAAGAAATGTGATGGGCAGTCAGAAAGTAAAAGCTATGTAAATTCCATTATCTATACCACAGTTTGTTGATGCTATAACATTCACACAAACCAATTAATATGCAGTTATTGGGACTTTTTTTTTTTTTTTTTACCAAAGACATGTAGCAAATTACATCTTGGCCTAAATTTTTTATGAAATTTGAGGGTTTTTTTTTATATTTTTTTTTATGCCAGAAATAAGAAAATATTTTTTTTCACAATTTCTGGGTTTTTTTTTTTTTTTTTTTTTTTTTTTATTGTGCAAAAAACACCCCAGAGGTGATCAAATACCACCCAAAGAAAGCTCTATTTGTGTGAAAAAAGGACATAAATTTATGTACAGCATTGCATAACTATGCTATTACCAATTGAAATAGTGCAGCACCGAATAGCAAAAAATGGCCTGGTCAGGAAGGGTATTGGTAAATCCTCTGGAGGGAAAGTGGTTAAATTTGCGATTGCAGTGATTGATCACAGCTATCATGGGGTACAGGGCCAATTTCATTGGCTCTGTAGCCTTATTTTGTAATTTTCTCTTTCTAATGAACACAGTGATCAGAGTGTGCAAGGGTAAGCATGAGTACAACAGATTCAGGCCCTATTTAAAACCACCTCCCACACTCAGGAGATGGTCTGTGGCAAGTGGGTAAAAAACCTTTTACATAATACATTCGCTGTTTAACTGTATGTTTGAGTGCCTAAAAATTTGCTATTATTTTTTCTCATAATGTACAGTGCTCAGCATAAATAAGTACACCCCAACATATTTGTCAAAAACCTTTTACTTTCCTTTCAGAATCAACGTTTTCTGTGGGACATTATACTACAAAATACTCCCTCAAATGTGGGCCATTGATTGCAAACAAGACTGTTAATTTGAACTCTCAAAGTATTTTTCCCAACAAATTCATTCATGTTGCAAAATTGAATACACCCCAATGAAAGTCTTAACCGCCTCCCGCCCACCATATAGTCCAATGACGGACGTAAGGCGGTTCTCTCGTTCTGGGAGGACGTCATATGACGTCCTCCCATTCTCACCACGCATGCGCAGTTCCGGGAGCGCGCAGCGCGGCGATCAGCGGTGCACTGTGTCCCTTGGACACAGTGGATCACCGATCCACGGAAAGAGCCGAAGATGTTGGCTCGGTCATGTGATCAGCTGTGTCCAATCACAGCTGATCGCATGGAAACAGGGAAATTCCGGTTATCAGCATTTCTCTCCTCATGAACTGTCACGCTCACAGCTCGAGAGGAGAGCCAGTAATCAGCATTCCTCGGAGGGGACATGTGCACTGATGATCAGTGTAGCCCCAGCAGTGCCACCTGTCAGTGTCCATAAGTGCCAGCTCTCAGTGTTTATCCATGCCACCTGCCAGTGCCCATCAGTGCCACATCAATGGCACATAGTGCCTACCAGTGTAAATCAATGCCACATATCAGTGCCCATCTGAGTTGCCTGTCAGTGCCACCTATCAATGCCAATCAGTGCTGCTATCAGTGCCAGTCAGTGCCACCTATCAGTGTGCATCAGTGCCGCCTATCAGTGCCCGTCAATGCTGCCTATCAGTGCTGCCTTTCAGTGCCTTATCAGTGATGCCTGTCAATGCCCATCAGTGCCACCTACCAGTGCCTCCTCATCAGTGCCTCCTATCAGTGTCCATCAGTGCAGCCTCATTAGTGCACATCAGTGAAGGAGAAAAATAGCTTATTTACAACATTTTATAACAAAAACTAAGAAAAAACTTTTTTCAAAATTTTCAGTGGTTTTGGGTTTAAGAAAAAATAAAAACCCAGAAGTGATTAAATATCACCAAAATAAAGCTCTATCTGTCACAAAAAAATGATAAAAATGTCATATGGGTACAGTGTTGCATGACTGCGCAATTGTCATTCAAAGTGTGACAGCGCTGAAAGCAGGAACTTGGCCTGGGCAGGAAGGGGGTATAAGTGCCCTGTAAGCTAGTGGTTAAAAGCAAAGCTACATTTTAGACAAAAAAATCCTAATTAACAAGAATTCAACTACAGGTGCGTCTAATTATTTTAAACAGGTGTCCAGCTGACAGTTGATTATAAAAGGGAGTTACTTAAAGAAAACCCCTTCCCATTTCATGCTGTCAGAAATGTTGCGAGACCTGAGAGAGAGAATTTCTTTACACAAGAAAGGTGAAGGCTACAAGAAGGATCCGCAAAGCTTACTTATCAGTCAGAATACTGTAGCTAAAGTAATACAAAAATTTGACAAAGAGGAAACTGCAACCTTCTCACAGAGATGTCCAGGCCTTCCACGGAAGTTAACACCTCGACAGGAGTGTCTTCTGATGAAAAGGGTTGAAGGAAATCGCCATGCAAGTTCACTGCAGTTAAAGAAGTAGGAAGCCAAACTGGGATGATTGTTTCCCATGACACAATACACTGCAGAGGGATGGAATGTAAGGGTGTCGTCCACAAAGGAAGCCTGTCCTAAAGCCCATTCACAAAAAAGCCCTAGAATTTGTCAGGGCCCATGCTGAAAAAAGACAACTGGGAGTCTGTACTCTGGAGTGATGAGACCAAGATAAATGTTTTTGGAACTGATGGCTTCAAAACTGTATGGCGTCACAAATGTGAGGAGTACAAGGAAAAATGCATGGTGCCTACAGTGAAACATGGTGGTGGCAGTGTCCTTCTGTGGGGCTGCATGAGTGCTCCTGGTGTCAGGGAGCTGCATTTCATTGATGGTATCATGAATTCACAGCTCTATATTGCAAGAGAAGATGCTACCATCACTTGGTGCCCTTGATCATTGTGCACTTTTCAAACATGACAATGATCCAAAACACACATCTAAAGCCACTGTTGCATTTCTGAAGAACAGGGAGAAAGTGATTCTCCAGATCTGGATCCAATCGAACACCTATGGGGAACTCTGAAGAGACAAGTTGAGTATCACTCTCCAGCATCCAGGCTCTAAAAGAGGTCGTTCTTGAAGAATAGAAAAAGATAGATGTTGCAGTGTTTTGCCATCTTGTTCATTCCATGCCTAGAAGACTTGGTGCTGTCCTTACAAATCATGGAGGTCATACAAAATACTACATATAGTAGTTTTTGTTGAGAGGTGTATTTATTTTTGCATCCACTATATTGAGTAAAACTGAAGATTTTATAATCTAAGTTATATTATTAACCCTACTTGTAATGAGCTAAACAAATGTTCTATAAAACTCAGTTTTGTCAAAATTTTAGAAATCGTTCTTGTGTTCATTGAGATATTGATTAAAATCTTACTTTTCAAAAGGAGTGTACTCATTTATGCTGAGCACTCTATGACATCCCTGTGTTTTGTAAGCATGTGAAACTAAATAATTGTTTTCATTATCAAAGGTATATTACCAGGTAGTCAAGTGATTCTATAATTTATTAGAAATGGCTCCTCTTCTAATAGGAGCAATTTGCTTTCTGCTGATCCCCTTCGTACACAGTAGAATCTGGGGTGCTATACAGTGGAGAGCTAGAACATGTGTAGTAGCTCCCCAGATTCTGGGTGATAATTCTGCGAGATTTCATTGCAAAGTGAACAGCATTATCTTGTTACAGAAAATGGAAAAACACAATGGACCTACTGGGCGAATCAGTAGGTGATTTTGATGTTGTAGAGGACACTCAAACACAAACTGCTGTGTAAATGCTATGACAGACTTCAGAATGTGTTATTTTTTCTTTTGCCTGTAGTTCTATTAACATTATGTGCAGATTATATTTTTTGATGTAGCTAGGATTTACTTGGTTTGTAGTTTTGTATTTTTCCTTACCTGCAGCTACATGTAAGGGCACATGGCAGTTGTATGTAGTCATCTGGGGAAAAATTATGTTGCTTATTTCTTATATTTTTGAATGTTTGACACCATTTCATGTTGTACTTGAGCAAAGAGATTGGATTACCCCATGTGTTTTTTCAATACAGTAGGTGCCATTAAAGAACGCTGAGGCTTTACCACTATTTAAAAGTGTATACATTCCACCAAATCAAAGTGGTTCTATACAGCACCAGTGAAATACAGAAAAATGGTTGACCTTGAAAGATTTTTTTAATTTGCGTTTTAAATATTTGCTTGGGTCTCTTGAGTGAATCAGACCTTAATGTGTATTTTGCTCTTGTTTCAGACATGTTAACACACAAAATTAGGGAGCTCCATTTCCTCAGGAATTGTTATTTTGCATATTTATCTTTAACTAGATATTTTATACCTTTCTCCTTCATTATACTGCATTTTTAATACAAGTGCATTTAGGTCAATACTCTCTCCTCAAAAAATGAAAGTTGAAGGCCATGCAAATGCAAGATAGAACAAAGGAATTGCTCATGTTTGTAATGGCAACATCTTAAAATCCTGTGATTTGTAGATACTTTTATGGGTCATTTGGCATATTATTGTAACAATAAACCAACAATATAAATGAAAAGAATATTTTTTGTTTCCATGGTAGCTGTTAAAGAGACAAATGTTTCATCTAAGTAGATTTATCTTTTGGCAGTTTCACACCTGAGTAAAGTCTTTACACCAAAATTCTTATTTCTTAATGCTTTCATAATGATAGAGTATATTTGGCCATATAATTTGAGTCCTTTATCAACTCTGGTGATACCAAAGTAATAATAATACGTAATTTTTTGAATAAACCTTCCTTTCCTTGGACCTTTCTCAGAAGATTTTAAGGTACTGAATCTAGACTGCACTGGCTCATGGCTTTGTCAGAGTGGAAAATATATTCAGCTCTAGTAATGACTAGAGGGACACAATTCCCTGACAAATGCAACTGCGGCTTGCAAAATGTAAGGGCTGTGCCAAATAACACATCCATTGAATTTCAGATTACAAAGCAACGTCTTTGTTTAATTGTGAAGGAAGCTAATTATCTTTTAATGCCGCAACCACCAATGATGCTGTTTCTCCTTATTCTGGCTTTATTAATGTGTGTGTGGTGTCAGTCATTTCCAATGCTGTTATTTATACTATAAAGACCACTATCAATTGCGTGTCTTTCATTGTTTTGTGCATTTGTTTTATTTTGCTCACAAGACACTCGTATAAAGTATCATCATATGATTACAATCAACAGGTTGCACTAAAACTTCAAAAATTACCAATTGTATGGCAATTTGTAGGGGTGTGGTTTGAAGGGGGGTTAAAAGAAACCTATGACGAGAGGAACATGAAGGCTGCCAGTGCTGACCTTTACTTCTAAAAATTCTAGCTGCCTGGCTGTCCATTTGAATTTTGATTCCATGCTTAAGACACTAACCTAGAACAAACATACATTTATGGACGTATGACCTTTTCCCAGACCTTTTGTTATATATACTTGTTCCATAACAGTGCCCCAAAATGTATACTGAAGCCAAAAGGTGAGCATAAAAGCCAGGAAACTAGCATTTTACTAAAGGGATCTGAAATGAAATCGCCATTTTCTTCTCTTAAGTTTATTTTAATTAGATTCTGCTAGGTTTTATATGATTGGGTGGTTGTTGGAAATGTTTAAGGAAATAGTAACATGGAAGAAATAAAGGAAAATGTTTTGGGAGGGGTACAGCATAACATTTCCCTTGTCTCCATAGTTAAACTAAAGTGGAAATACAAAATTATTCTTTGAATAATAAACATGTTGTACTTCCCTGTACAGTGGTTTTAGGCACAGCAGCCATGATCCTTCTCTTCAGTGCTCCTGGCTCCACTCTCCTGCTGAGTGCTATGGGGGCACTCATGCAGACTGCTGCCTGGCTCCCCTGCTCACTGGCTCTGATGGGCAGAAGCCAATGGCCCTGTCTGCTGCCTCCATGTCCTGTGAGGATAGAGAGAGATGTTGCTCTTGTCACCACTATTAATTTTGATGTCAAATTTCAATTTTGTTTCAGCCTTTTGACTAAAATGCCATTTTAGTTTTAGTCGTATTTTAGTCAACTAAAATATCCAATACATTTTAGTCAACTGAAATCTCCAGTATCATAAACAAACAAATATTTAACTTTTTGACAAACAGAAGTGCAACTTTAAAATATTAAAAAAAAAAACTATCGTAAACACTATTGGCGGTAATGCCATTGCACATATTATCCAAATCTAAAAACTTTCAGCTCTCTGTTAATAATGAAAACAAGTATCAGGTAACATCTTTAGAAATAACCAAGTTTCATAAACAAGAATATTGCTTTTTGAGCACTGTTAATTTTAACCACAAATGTTGATTTTGTTTCAGTCTTTTGACTAATATTTTAGTTTTAGTCATATTTTAGTCCTCTGAATTGAAACTGAAGTTTATTTTTGTTTAGTTTTCATCATTGAAAACGTGTAGCTGACAAAAACTTTGACGAAAAAAATTTCCTCGATGAAGTTAACACTGCTTGACACAGCACTGGATCAATTCTCCAAATCATGGTTTTCTATGTGATGCTGCAGCTGTCCCACACAGACTCTGAAAACTAAGAGATCAGCAGTCACTGCTGTTCACTCTGCTCCTTCAGCTGCAGAGGGAGTGGGCACAGCTGGCTCTTGTTCTTCGCTTCTGAAAAGGCACTGAAAGGCAGAGCAGGCAGCGGGGTGGATGCTGACAATATTTTCGGGATCTTCCGAGAGCCTTGTGTGACTCTGCCCTGTTAGCTAGTAGCATGCAACTGCTATC